GCATTTCTCTAATAATTAGTGGTGTTGAGCAGCTTTTCACATGCCTCTTGGCCATCTGTATGTCTTCTTTGGAGAAATGTCTATTTAGGTCTTCTCTCCATTTTTGAATTACGTTGTTTTTTTGATACTGAGCATCATGAGCTGTTTGTATATTTTGGACATAAATCCTTTGTCCATTGATTCATTTGCAAATATTTTCTCCCACTCTAAGGGTTGTCTTTTCATCTTGTTTATAGTTTCCTTTGCTGTGCAAAAGCTTTTAAGTTTCATTAGCTCCCACTTATTTATTTTTGTTTTTATTTCCATTACTCTAGGAGGTGGGTCAAAAAAGATCTTGCTGTGATTTATGTCAAAGAGTGTTCTTCCTATGTTTTCCTCTAAGAGTTTTATAGTATCCAGTCTTACATTTAGGTCTCTAATCCATTTTGAGTCTATTTTTGTGTATGGTGTTAGGGAGTGTTCTAATTTCATTCTTTTAAAATGAAAAATGGTAGCTGTCCAGTTTTCCCAGCACCATTTATTGAAGAGACCATCTTTTCTTCATTGCATATCCTTGCCTCCTTTGTCATAGATGAGTTGACCATAGGTGCGTGGGTTTATCTCTGGGCTTTCTATCTTGTTCCATTGATCTATGTTTCTGTTTTTGTGCCAGTACCATATTGTCTTGATTACTGTAGCTTTGTAGTATAGTCTGAAGTCAGGGAGCCTGATTCCTCCCGCTCCATTTTTTTCCCTTAAGACTGCTTTGTCTATTTGGGGTCTTTTGTGTCTCCAAACAAATTTTAAGATATTTTGTTCTAGTTCTGTAAAAAATGCCATTGGTAATTTGATAGGGGTTGCATTGAATCTGTAGATTGCTTTGGGTAGTATAGTCATTTTCACAATGTTGATTCTTCCAGTCCAAGAACATTGTATATCTCTCCATCTGTTGGTATCATCTTTAATTTCTTTCATCAGTGTCTTATAGTTTTCTGCATACAGGTCTTTTGTCTCCCTAGGTAGGTTTATTCCTAGGTATTTTATTCTTTTTGTTGCAATGGTAAATGGGAGTGTTTCCTTAATTTCTCTTTCAGATTTTTCATCATTAGTGTATAGGAATGCAAGAGATTTCTGTGCATTAATTTTGTATCCTGCTACTTTACCAAATTCATTGATTAGCTCTAGTAGTTTTCTGGTGGCATCTTTAGGATTCTCTATGTATAGTATCATGTCATCTTCAAACAGTGACAGTTTTACTTCCTCTTTTCCAATTTGGATTCCTTTTATTTCTTTTTCTTCTCTGATTGCCATGCCTAGGACTTCCAAAACTATGTTGAATAATAGTGGTGAGAGTGGACATCCCTGTCTTGTTCCTGATCTTAGAGAAAATGCTTTCAGTTTTTCACCATTGAGAATGATGTTTTTGATGTGGGTTTGTCGTATATGGCCTTTATTATGTGGAGGTAGGTTCCCTCTATGCCCACTTTCTGGAGAGTTTTTATCATAAATCGGTGTTGAATTTTGTCAAAAGCTTTTTCTACATCTATTGAGATGATCATATGGTTTTTATCCTTCAATTTGGTAATATGGTTAATCACATTGATAGATTTGCGTATATTGAAGAATCCTTGCATTCCTGGGATAAACCCCACTTGATCATGGTGTATGATCCTTTTAATGTGTTGTTGGATTCTGTTTGCTAGTATTTTGTTGAGGATTTTTGCATTTATATTCATCAGTGATATTGGTCTGTAATTTTCTTTTTTTGTAGTATCTTTGTCTGGTTTTGGTATCAGGGTGATGGTGGCCTCATAGAATGAGTTTGGGAGTGTTCCTTCCTCCGCAATTTTTTGGAAGAGTTTGAGATGGATGGGTGTTAGCTCTTCTCTAAATGTTTGATAGAATTCACCTGTGAAGCCATCTGGTCCTGGACTTTTGTTTGTTGGAAGATTTTTAATCACAGTTTCAATTTCATTACTTGTGATTGGTCTGTTCATATTTTCTATTTCTTCCTGGTTCAGTCTTGGAAAGTTATACCTTTCTAAGAATTTGTCCATTTCTTCCAGGTTGCCCATTTTATTGGCTCGTAGTAGTCTCTTAGGATGCTTTGTATTTCTGTGGTGTCTGTTTTAACTTCTCCTTTTTCATTTCTAATTTTATTGATTTGAGTCCTCTCCCTCTTTTTCTTGAAGAGTCTGGCTAATGGTTTATCAATTTTGTTTATCTTCTCAAAGAACCAGCTTTTAGTTTTATTGATCCTTGCTATTGTTTTCTTTGTTTCTATTTCATTTATTTCTGCTCTGCTCTTTAGGATTTCTTTCCTTCTGCTAACTTTGGGTTTTGTTTGTTCTTCTTCCTCTATTTCCTTTAGGTGTAAGGTTAGATTGTTTATTTGAGATTTTTCTTGTTTCTTGAGGTAGGCTTGTATAGCTATAAACTTCCCTCTCAGAACTGCTTTTGCTGTATCACATAGGTTTTGGATCGTCATGTTTTCATTGTCATTTGTCTCTAGGTATTTTTTGATTTCCTCTTTGATTTCTTCAGTGATCTCTTGGCTATTTAGTAATGTATCGTTTAACCTCCATGTGTTTGTGTTTTTTACATTTTCTTCCCTGTAATTCATTTCTAATCTCATAGCATTGTGGTCAGAAAAGATGCTTGATATGATTTCAATTTTCTTAAATTTACTGTGGCTTGATTTGTGACCCAAGATGTGATCTATCCTGGAGAATGTTCCATGCTCACTTGAGAAGAAAGTGTGATCTGCTGTTTCTGGATGGAATTTCCTATAAATATCAATTAAATCTATCTGGTCTGTTGTGTCATTTAAAGCTTCCGTCTCCTTATTTATTTTCATTTTGGATGATCTGTCCATTGGTGTAAGTGAGGTGTTAAAGTCCCCCACTATTATTGTGTTACGGTCAATTTCCTCTTTTATAGCTGTTAGTAGTCGCCTTATGTATTGAGGTGCTCCTATGTTGAGTGCATATATATTTCTAATTGTTATATCTTCTTCTTGGATTGATCCCTTGATCATTATGTAGTGTCCTTCCTTGTCTCTTGTAACATTCTTTATTTTAAAGTCAATTTTATCTGATATGAGTATTGCTACTCTAGCTTTCTTTTGATTTCCATTGGCATGGAATATCTTTTTCCATCCCCTCACTTTCAGTCTGTATGTGTCCCTAGGTCTGAAGTGGGTCTCTTTTAAACAGCATATATATGGGTCTTGTTTTTGTATCCATTCAGCAAGCCTGTGTCTTTTGGTTGGAGCATTTAATCCATTCACATTTAAGGTAACTATCAATATGTATGTTCCTATGACCATTTTCTTAATTGTTTTGGGTTTGTTTTTGTAGGTCCTTTTCTTCTCTTGTGTTTCCCACTTAGAGAAGTTCCTTTAGCATTTGTTGTAGAGCTGGTTTGGTGGTGCTGTATTCTCATAGCTTTGCTTGTCTGTAAAGCTTTTGATTTCTCCATCGAATCTGAATGAGATCTTTGCTGGGTAGAGTAATCTTGGTTGTAGTTTCTTCCCTTTCATCACTTTAAGTATATCATGCCACTCCCTTCTGGCTTGTAGAGTTTCTGCTGAGAAATCAGCTGTTAACCTTATGGGAGTTCCCTTGTATGTTATTTGTCATTTTTCCCTTGCTGCTCTCAATAATTTTTCTTTGTCTTTATTTTTTGCCAGTTTGATTACTGTGTGTCTCAGCATGTTTCTCCTTGGGTTTATCCTGTATGGAATTCACTGCACTTCCTGGACTTGGGTAGCTATTTTCTTTCCCATGTTAGGGAAGTTTTCGACTATAATCTCTTCAAGTATTTTCTCGGGTCCTTTCTCTCTCTCTTCTCCTTCTGGGACCCCTATAATGAGAATATTGTTGCATTTAATGTTGTCCCAGAGGTCTCTTAGGCTGTCTTCATTTCTTTTCATTCTTTTTTCTTTATTCTGTTCCACAGCAGTGAATTCCACCATTCTGTCTTCCAGGTCACTTATCCTTTCTTCTGCCTCAGTTATTCTGCTATTGACTCCTTCTAGTGTAGTTTTCATTTCAGTTATTGTATTGTTCATCTCTGTTTGTTTGTTCTTTAATCCTTCTAGGTCTTTGTTAAACATTTCTTGCATCTTCTCCATCTTTGCCTCCATTCTTTTTCCAAGGTCCTGGATCATCTTCACTATCATTATTCTGAATTCTTTTTCTGGAAGGTTGCCTATCTCCACTTCATTTAGTTGTTTTTCTGGGGTTTTATCTTGTTCCTTCATCTGGTACATAGCCCTCTGCCTTTTCATCTTGTCTATCTTTCTGTGAATGTGGTTTTTGATCCACAGGCTGCAGCAACAATTGCAATTTAAAATCTGTTCATTCTCCTCTGAGACAATGTGAACCTCTCTGGAGCGTCCCCCTCTGTCCCTAATATTCTACTTGACCTTCCATTCTGACTCTAAGCTAGCTGATGGGTTGTGGAGTCAGGGTTGAAATCTCTCTCTCTTTATCAATTTGTGAAAAGAAATAAAGAAATATGCTAATACCATTTAACTCAGCGCTGTCCAGGATGACAAATAAGATATTTGAGGCTATATGTTGCAGAGAAGTAACAGCTCTTCATGTGCTAAGGAAAAGAGAAAGGATGTGTAACTTTTCTTCCTTTCTTTCTATCCTTTTGTCATTGTTGTTAACATAAATGCCATTTTTTTACAGTGAAAATTTTAGATAAAACATTCTTTCTTTTTCTGCATTCATTTTTTCCCTTCTATTATTGTAATGCCGGCATTAGTATATCAGTTAATATATATGGCAAAATTGTTGGGATTAAATGCAAGGTTACTACATCGATATCATGCTATAAATGTTGTTCCCTACTGTATTTATTCTAATTTATGTATACTTGATAGAAATTTCATTTTTTAACGTGTTATATCTCTTAGGAGTTTTCTCCTATTTAACATGATCCGAAGATACAATTCTGTGAAGAAGGGAATGGCAAATTATTTTAATGCCTTTTATTGTTTTTGTTTCTAGCCTATTCTACTAAGCTCAACAAATTTCCTGTATTTAATATTAATGATGACTTGAATGATCTGTGTACCAGTGCAGTAAGCCCAAATACGACCAAAGCAACACGGTATGCCCTGAATGTGTGGCGATATTGGTGTATGACCAATGGGCTCAAAGATCACACAGACATCACCAAGGTAAGAAACTCTTAAGTTTACTTCTTCTTTTGGTCAACTTCACTGAGCTTCCATGTGCCAGGCACTGTGCTAAGTATTGTGGGGAACACGGAACAGGTACTTTCTGCCTGAGGAAACTTTGAAAGACCATAAAATAGAAAGAAAAATATCCACAGTACAAAACAGAATTTAATATGTCTTCTCGGAATTTATAGATCAGAAATGCCAAAAAAATTCAGATGGATAAATTAATTTCAGTTTGTTGAGACTAGCAAAGGAATTGATATTTAAACTGTATTTTGAGGGAGAGGTAGGGTTTCAACAGAATTGAAGACAAGGGTCTTCTAGGCTGAGTCATGTAAGGAAGAGTAAAAATTAGAGGGATAGACCCACTTTCCTGCAGCAGAGCCTTTGTATATGGGAGTAGTGGACTGTAAAACTGGATTTTGACAACCCTTAAATGGAAAGCTGAAATCTTGTGAATATTGGGAAACCATTGAAGTTTTGTTTTGTTTTTGTGTTTGTTTGTAAGGAGAGATTTTATTTGAAGGGTTATTGGAGGGGGCAGCAGAGAAGGGACTGTTATAATAAAAACACTCTGACCATAAGATCTGCAAATGTCTTAAGGGTTAGGTGAAAGGGAAACACTGAAGTTTTTGTTTGTTTGTTTGTTTGTTTGTTTTTTGCGGTACGCGGGCCTCTCACTGTTGTGGCCTCTCCCATTGCGGAGCACAGGCTCCAGACGCACAGGCTCAGCGGCCATGGCTCACGGGCCCAGCCGCCCTGCGGCATGTGGGATCTTCCCGGACCGGGGCACGAACCCACGTCCCCTGCATCGGCAGGCGGACTCTCAACCGCTGCGCCACCAGGGAAGCCCAACACTGAAGTTTTTTGAACAGGAAGGAACATAAGAAACATAATATTATAGAGCAATTAATTGGAGATGATGAGCAAAAATGTATTTAATATTCTTGGTCCTCAATTTCCCCAGTTGTAAAATGAACCCTTAGAATCTCTTCCAACTTGAAATGTTTCAGGGTTGTGAATAGAAGGGAAAATTCTTGGACATGTAGAGTCAGAACAGAAAGATGTATTTTGATTTGGATATGTTGAGTTTAGACGATAGAGATGTCTACCAGATGAATATGTCGAATGAGCATTTGGGAAGGTGGGACTTAAAACATGGGGGAAATGTTAAAGCTGGAAGTATAGATTCAAAGATATTGCAAATAGAAGTCATAACTGAAGCGCAAGGGTAGGTGACATCTCCAGGTTTGGGTGATGTGTTTAGGGCACCAACAAGAGAAGAAATAGGAAATCCAGGTTTCTACTTCTGGCAGCATGGTGCCCTAGATACTGTGAGGGGCCTTTCTGCTGTACTTGCAGAAAGAAAGGGAGCCATCCACAGGATCAAAACAGGAGCAGTGTGAACAGTAAGCACATATGAAAGGCCGGGCTCTTCCTCAGGGCTTATGTTGATAACATCATTAAGAAGGGAAGAGGCAAGGAGCTAAACTGAAGAATCCTTGATTGAGGAGCAGACCCTGAAAGTGTCTAAAGAAGTTCTTGGTCAGTAGCATACCCTGGCTCCTTGCAGAGTCATATGCTAATAATCTTTGAAGGGAAACATCCAAAATGTAGGTGCTCAGATTTTTCACAGATTAAGACCAACTAAATGTGTGCTCATTAAAAAAAAAAAAAAAATCAGTATCCACTTAAGGAAATAAGTCGCCATGAATGAGAATGAATAGAAACAACAAAGAACAGATTTAGACACCAGGGACTTTAGATAGTAGATTATAGGTTAAGGATGTATGAAATGTTTGTTGAAAGAATGAAAAGAATTATAAAAATGAAAAAGCAACAACATACTAATCAAAATGATCCAGCAGATGAGAAAATAAATTGAAATTTCCACTTGTGGCCATAAGGGAATAGAAGGGTTCAGCATTACTCTCCTGCTGTAACAACTAGAAAACTGGGCATAATAGATGAAATAACTCTTCCTTCCTACAGAACAGGCATCACAGGACTTGATCCCTAAGATGGCTGCTTGACCACCTCTCAGGCTTTCTGCCTGGAGACAATTTTTAAACTGCATTAAAGGGAGGGGAACCCAAACTGAGCCTGGCAATCTTGCTGAGTTGAGGGGAGACAGAAATCAGAGCTCAGGGCGGCTGAGGACATGAGAACAACTAGAAAGAAGTTATAGCATTCATTGAAAAGATCAGACAAATCCAGAATTTAATAATGTAAAATTCACAATTTCTAGCATACAAGCAACAGTTACTATACATAGGAAGAAGTGGGAACATATAACCCACGCCCAGGAGAAAAATCAGGTAAGTCTTTCACTTCCAACCAATTTGGAGGAGATTTACTCTCCTGCCAGAAACAACCAAAAAACAGACCAATGATATAACTAATGTTTTGCAAGGTATTATATAATACACAAAGAAGGGCAGTGACCTCTGAGAGATGGGAAACAAGGTGAGCCTTACATGTGCCCCAGCTTGCTGCCTTGAAAGAGTCTACAGGGCTGTGGTGCAGGGAGGGAGCATGCAGGCAGAGCCCAGCAGATTTGCTGAGTTGAGGAAATGGAACTGAGTCCAGAGAGACCCAGGTGGCTAGAATTGTCATAACAGAATATTCGGAAGTAGAGAGCTACACAGAAAGAGAACGTGAGAGAACTGAAGCTATTCTGTCTCAAATATTCAGCTGAGTATACTGATCAACATCTGCATGTGAGGAAACTACCTGAGGCTGGCCAAAAAACAAAAGAAAAAGATGCCTGAAAGAATCAGAGGTAATAGTGCCTGGAGCTCACACAGAACTGGAAACAGTACCTCTTCCCACCAGTCAGACTGGAAAAACCTCAGGATTCGTGGGGTAGAGACTTTAGAAAGGTCTTGCATCAAATGTGGAGAATAATTAGCCACAGACTGAGCTTTGCTCTAACCCTACCCAACAAATCTTAAAAGCAAGACCCAGCTACATGGAAAGGTGCTAGATATCACTAATCATCAGGGAAATGCAAATCAAAACCACAGTGAGCTATCACCTCACATCTGTTAGGATGACTGTTATCAAAAGACAAGAGTTAACTAGTGTTGGTAAGGATGTGGAGAAAAGGGAACTGTTGTGCACTACTGGTGCAAATGTAAAGTGGTGCAGCCACTATAGAAAAAGAGTATGGAGGTTCCTCAAAAAATTAAAAATAGAACTATCATGAGATCCTTTATCTAAAGGAAACGAAAACACTAATTCAAAAGGATATATACACCCCTGTGTTCATTGCAGCATTATTTACAATAGCCAAGACATAGAAGCAACCTAACTATCCATAGATGGATGAATGGATAAAGAACATGTGGTATATAGATACAATGGAATATTATTCAGCCATAAAAAGGAAGAAAATCTTGCTATTTACAACAACATGGATGGACCTTGAGGGCATTATACTAAATGAAATAAGTCAGACAGAGAAAGACAATTACCATATGATCTCACTTATATGTGGAATCTAAAAACAAAGAACAAAAAACCTCCTAACTACAAAGAACAGATGGGTGGTCACTAGAGGCTGGGAATGAGCAGTGTTGAAATGGGTGAAGGTGGTCAAAAGGCCTGGGGATGTAATGTGCAGCATGATGAGTATAGTTAATAACACGGTACTGTATATTTGAAAGTTTCTAAGACAGTAGATCTTAAAAGCTCTCATTACAAGAAAAAAATATTTTAACTATGTGTGGTGATGGGTGTTGACTAGATTTATTGTGGTAATCATTTTGCAATATATACAAATATCAAAATATTATGTTATACACCTGAAACTGATATAGTGTCATATGGTAATTATATCTCATTTTTTTTTAATTAAGAAAAAGCAAGACCCAAAAGGGTCAAACAGTTTTCAAGCAACTTAACTTTGTCCCAGAACAAACCTTAAGAATATTTATAGGAATATAAGAATATCCAGAACCCAAGAAATAAAATTCACAATCTCTGGCAACTAAACAAAAATTTTCAGACATACAAAGGAGCAAGAAAATGTCAATATATCACTTAAAGAATGAATCAATCAAAACCAACCCAGAACTGACACAGATTTTAGAATTAGCAGACAAGGACATTAAACCATTATTATGACGAAAATAAACATGTGAAAAGATGCTCATTAGACCTCAGGGAAATGCAAGACAAAATCACATGAGATTCTACTTCACATTCAGTAGGAAGACTAGGATAAAAAAAAGAAAAACAGATAATAACAAGTGTTGATGAGGATGTGGAGAAATTGGAACCCTCATACATTTCTGGTGGGAATGCAAAATGATGCAACTGCTTTGGAAAGTCTGGCAGTTCCCCAAAAGTTAAACATAGGGTTACTCTCACCCAGCAATTCCATTCATAGGCATATACTCAAGAAAATTTAAGACATATATCTATACAAAAACCTGTACACAAATATTTGTTGTAGCATTATTCACCATAGCCAAACTGTACAGACAACCCAAATGTCCATCAGCAGATGAATGGATAAACAAAATGTGGCATATCCATACAATGGAATATTATTTGTCAATGAAAAGAAACGAAGTACTGATACATGCTTACAGCATGGCTGAACCTTGAAAGTGTTATACTAAGTAAAATAAGTCAGACACAAAAGAGCAAATATGTATGATTCCATTTATATAAGGTACCTAGAATAGGCAAGTTCATAGAGACAGAAAGTATAATAGAGGTTACCAGGGGCTGGCAGGGGGAAGAAATGTAGTTATTGTATACTGAGTACAGTTTCTGTTTGGAATGATGAAAAAGTTCTGGAAATTAGTAGTGATGATGGTTGCACAACATTGTGAATGCACTTAATGACACTGGATGGTACACTTATAAATGGTTAAGATGGTAAATTTTATATTATGTATATTTTACCACAATAAAAAAGCAAATAAATCTATTAAAATGTAACCATTTCACCTTTATTAATAATAATTTTAAAATTCATCTATTCT